GAAGGCGGGTGCTGATTGTGGCACAGGAAAAGCTGGAAAGTCTGACGTGTTTGCTTGTGTGACTTCTTGCTGGCCAGCGTGACAAACAGGAGCGTTGTGTGCCTGGTTTGGTGCATTACACTTACAGTAAGTAGCCCTGACTTTAATTAAGCAATTCACGCTGATTTGACCCTGTCACCTGTCCCAGGTAGGGTTAACAAAGCGTTTTGCCCCTGGGGCAAAATATGAATGATGCCCCTCTCCTTAGGTTAGCACATGTCACACTCTTTACTTTTGCAGCTTATTTTTACTTATTGCATCTGTATAGCCGTGAGCAGAGGCCGTTGTAGGAACCACCTGGCCAGGGTGCCCTTGGCCTGCCAGAGAGCAGCTCAGCTTGGAGAGCGCATGGCAGTGCGGGCAGAGGGGGGCGGCAGGGGAGAAATGTGTCTTTAATGGCATTTGTCTATGTTTACATCATGAGTCATGTGGATAAGTGGCTGTAAATCAGCCTCTATCTCCCTCAAGGTGTCCAGAGCATCCCCTCCCCTTGTCCCACCAGAACTGGATGCGTGCCCGGAGCCTGCAGAAACAGCCTCATAAATAACAGCAGCAAAACAAACCCTTTTCACAGCCGCGAAGGGCCCCAAACACACTCGGCGCAAGATTAACGCTTCCCATCCATCACTTTAACGGGTGTACTTTGGAAATTAAACCTGTCACAGCCCATCAAGGTGAACATTTGAAACCTGTGACATCCCTACGTGCTCCCCACTCCCATCTCGTCCTGGAGCGCGCCCGCCCTTTCTCCTCCGGCTCATTCGCAGTCCTCGCTCTCCTGGTCCCCGTCTGGCCGGCCCCGTCTCCTGCTCTCGGCTCTTCGGGCTGGGCCTCATTCAGCCTAGAGCCCTAGGCCACGGCACCGGCTGGTTTGGTATTAGCCCAGAATTGGAGGGATGTGAACACGACCACGGACCCCACCCCCGGCCACAGAACCGGGCTGGGAAAGGTGGGATGTGTCTCGCCCTGACTCAGTCAGGGTGTTGCAGCCTGGACCTGCAGGCCCCCTGAACTCCCAGCAGCACCGGGAGCTCCTGCAAAGCGGCAGCCCCAGGAGTCTCCAGGCGCTGTGGGGGGGTGGAGAGGAATTGGGGGCTGCAAGGAGGGACAGCCCAAGAGGGACATCCAGCTCATGGCTGTATTATGGGAGTCGAAATACCCACAAGCACGAACAGGCAGACCCCTTGCCGGCCCCTCTGCCTTTCCCCAGACGCAACGGTCATTACAACCCCCAGCCCTGCACCTCCCCCACCCCATTACAACCCC